GGAGCATGTGACTCAAATTTGGTAGAAAATGACTTAAAATAAATGACGAAATGAAGATATAAGGAGATTATCAAAAACTAAAGGACTAAATTGAAAAGTAAAAACTTTGTTATCAAAAAGAGGAATTGAAAGTACGCATGCATTCTACTTTGGTTTAGGAGCATGTGACTCAAATTTGTGAAAAGGGACTTAAAATAAATTACGAATTGAAGAAAAAAGGAAATTATGAAAAATTGAAGGAGTAAATTGAAAAATAAAAATTTGTTATCAAAAAGAGGAATTGAAAGTAAATATGCATTCTAATATGGTTTAGGAGCATGGGGTTCAAATTTGGTAAAAATAGACTTAAAATGAAGGAGAAATTGAAGAAATAATGAAATAAGGGACTAAATCATTAAACTATCAAAATACTTAGTCATATTTTTTATTTTTTGAGAAACTCAAAAATTTAAAATTTCAACTCGACTCGAAAACATAATTTGTAATTCGAATTGATTCAAATAACTTTAATAACTTGACTCGAATGACTCAAAATTAAAGAAAAAAAATTTAAGTCGAGCCAATTTTGCTCGCCCAATGTTTTGCCACCATTTCCTTCTCCATTTGATGTCCCCGTCCCCCACAAGATTCCGTTATTTAATATCATGGGGAAAATTGATATATTTCCTTTTCCTTCAATTAAAAAAATCGTAATTTAATAATAAAAATTTGTAAGTTTCATAATTTCAATTTAATTATCCGAACACTCATTTTTATTAAGTAAAATTTATTAGGAAAAAAGTTTGAATTAAATGATAAATTATTAACAATGTCTTATTATTTAGTTCATTAACCGCACATAAAATTAGATACCATCATCATATTAAAAAATTAACTCAAATATAAATCATTGATTTTAAATTATCAGCAAGATGAAAAAGTTTGGAGCGGAGAACACACAGGCCTGTACTCTGTTCGAAGCGGGTATAAATTTTAACTAAGAAGCGTGGAGAATGAGAGCGCAGAGCAGACTTTGTGGGCAGTGAACTGTCAAAGAAAGATTCAAATTCAAGCTTGGAAATTCTGCCATGATTTTATCCCAACCAAACAGAGGATATACCAAAAGAGAATACTCAACGATCCCCACTGCCCAAAGTGCGTAGGCCAAATCGAATCAGGCCTATATGTCACACGAGATTGCACACTAGCTAGACAAACATGGCTTAAACTGAATTACAATTGGCCAGAACAAAGCGATTAATGGAATTTTAAGGAATGGTTGAGCTGGGTATTCGAAAACCACACAAGAAACAAACATGCAGAGATTTTAACAGGCATTTGGGCACTATGGTACGCGAGAAACAGACAATTACATGAAGGAAAAACGCAAGCAGAGAGGAAATTATTAGCATCATCCACAACCAATGTAAAGATTATACTAGTACAAATACCAGACTCCAAGGCCTCATACAAATCATAGAAAGTAAATGGTCTCTGCCTCCTCCAAATTCAATAAAAATGAATTACGATGCAAGCTTCAAACAAAACGAAAATAATCATGGTCAGGGGTTGTAGCCAGAAATAGTGAAGGAATGGATATGGGTGCATGTAGAAGTCAAAACCTTATGGGTTTGATCAGCTTTTGCAGCAGAAGCAATTGTTGCTATCCATGCGCTAAAACTAGCCGAGGATCTGGGTTTCATAAACATCGTTCTGGGAGGAGACTCTCGGAAGATAACAACAAAACTAACAACGGGAACACCAGACCAATCGGAGATAAGTTCGTTAATCTGGGAAGCAAAACAAAGAACGCATAATTTTGACTACTGCATGTTTAGTTTTGTGTCAAGAGGAGGAAATAAGACATCCCACCTTCTTGCGACAGACCAGATGCTAGGAGAGGAAGAGATATACTGGGTTGAAAAACATCCACACCGACCAGCAACCCAGGCAGCAGCGGAGGGCAGGCGATGGATCGACCCACCATAGCCTGGTGCGAAAAACTAAAACAGGACGAGAGGATCTATTTTATGAAGTTTTACATCTCCTTGTGTTTTTAAATATTTGTGAACAGTTTCCTAATTGTTTAAGTATGCAATAATGGCAAAACTTTCGAGATAATGTTATGAAAGAAATTAATTCACGAGTTAATGCACTCTCAAGATTAATTGCTCAAATAGGGTAGAATACACAATGTTGGCCGTAGGTCGTCATGCACTCCGGGCATAGCTCGACTTCCCTCGGATTCCCTCGCATAGCTCGTTCGGTTGCCCTCGGATGCCCTCGCATAGCTCGTTCGGATGGCCTCGTATGCTCTCGGATGACCTCGGTCGGATGGCCTCGGATGCCCAGCGTGTTGGGACGTGCATGGCACATGCAATCTCTTATAGCTCGCCGGGAAGACATGGCGACCTAGTAGGTCGCCCAGAAGACATGTCGACCTACGGCCAACACTGTGAATTTCACCTTATTTGAGCAATTAATCTTGGGAGTGTTTTATTTCGCGAATTAATTTTTTCCAGAACATTATCTCGAAAGTTTTGCCATGCAATAATATTCAGCGTTTTGATTTCAAAAAAAATTATTAAAAATAAGCTTTTATTTTTTGTTTATATCTCAAGACTTCAAAGTGAATGAATTTATTTACATTATATATTATTTATTAGGGTAAAATACATAAATAGTTCCTTGGCTGTAGGGTATTGTTTTATTAAGACCCTTGACTATTAAAAATTACATAATGGTCTTTTAATTATAGGGAATTACTTTGTTGAAGCCTTTGGTTATTAAAATTTATAAAATAGTCACTCGGTTATTCATTATGGTTCAACCTCGCCCTTTTCCGTTAAAAATTCGACGATATTTTAGTGTACGTTAACTTACTGATTAAGATATGATAAAATATGATCTCATAATCTCAAACGACTATCATATCTCAGTCAACGTGTTAACGTCTAACTCAGATGATCGTTAACTTTTGGCTTAAGTACACAAAAGGTACCCAACCTATGCACGTTTTTCCAATTTAGTGGGTAATGTTTATTTCGTTCCAGTTTGATGTCTGACGTTTCATTTCGTTACTCAAAATGGGTCAAACCGCGATGGACCTTTAAATTTAGTCGTTAACCCATGAAAAATGTCACCTTGCATATTTTTTAATATTAAAAAATAGTTTCTAAAAATAAAAAATTAATTAATCTATTTTAATTAATTTCTTCTTCCTTAAATGCAGCACTCGTCTCTGTAGCTCAAATACTCATTTCTTCTTTCTCTTTCGCTCCACTCTTTTTCCTGGAAAAAATGGATAACAACTATGTTCTTCATGATCGGTGACAAAACCAGAGGTTTTCTTTTGAAGAAGATGGTTGTTGTTCTACCGATGGAAAACCCAGTTTTGATTCAACCCACGAGAGAAAAGCTCGAACCACGATGGAGATTCACTCCGACGACTGTGTAAGGAGGAAGATTTCCAGCTCCACGATGAATTCAGTTATCGGGATGGGAAAGGAGTTTGGGTCGGTTTAGAGGTTGTGGTGGGATGAGTATGACAGCCCCGATTACTCGAAAGATGAATTCAATAAGGCATTTAGGATGAGCAAGTCGACGTTCGAGCTCATTTGCTTCGACCTCAACTAAGAAGACGACAACATTGTCACGTTTAGGCAAATAGTGGCGGTTTGTATATGGCGTTTGGTGAAGGGAGAATCGTTTCGACTCATCTCGAAACGGTTTGATTTACCCATCCCGAAGTGTCGTGAATCGATCTTCGTCGTCTGTTATGTGATATGCACTATTTTGATGGCCAAGTATCTACGATGGCCGGACAAGAATTCGTTACGAGAAATAAAACAAGAGTTCGAAGCCATCTCGTGGTCGACCATAACAGAATTTTCACCGACATTTTCATAGGCTAGCCGTGATCAATGAACGACGATCAAGTGCTGCAAAAATCATCCCTTTATCAAAGAGCAAACGACGGGTTCTTCAACGAAGTTTGGATCGTGGGGGCATTTTTCAATTAATCTATTTTAATTACTTTCTTATTTTCAGAAATTATTTTTTAATATTAAAAAATTAGGTCAGGTGGCTTTTTTAATAGGTTAACAATCAAACTTAATGGTCCATCACAGTTTGACCCATTTTGAGTAACGAAATGAAAAGTTAGACACCAAATTAAAACAAAATAAACAATAGACACTAAACTGAAAAAAGAGCATAAGTGAGTACATTTTGTATACTTAAGCTTAAACTTTTTAATAAAAAATAATGAGTTTGAGACATAATAAATAATCAAGTGAACATTTTATAATTTTTAACAGTCAATGGATTAAACAAAGCACATATCTATAGTTGACAGACCATTTTACAATTTTTAATAGTCAAAAAACTCAATAAAATAATTTCTTGTAGTTGAGACCATGTACTTTATCCTATTTTTTATTCAAATAAAATAAATCAATGTAAACATTCTATGGATTCGTATTTTGAGATTCTTGTGATTCCTTATTATAAGAATTTTATTGATCAATGAAAGTTGATTTTTTAGGAACATATATGTTATTTGTTTAAAAATAAAAAAAAGTGTTAGAAGTATTCAAACTTTTGGAAAAAAAATGAATTAATTAAATTTTTCAATTTTTCAATTCCGGAAAATTAATTAATTTAATTTCTTGATTTGAGTCTTTATACTTTCTTAAATTGTATAGGATAATATATATATATATATATATCGAATTAGCATCTACGTACCTTTTAAAAAATTAGAATAGGTATCATCTATGAAATGAAAAAGTTTCCACATCAATCAAAATAAGACTCCCATAGCAAATAAACACACATCCAAAAGAAACCAGTTAACACTGCGATGAAAATTACAAACCAAATCACGACTTGTATTTAGGGTTTTCTCTTTTATCAATAAATCAAACATTAAATTCCAGCTCTACCATACACATATTTAACATGCTTGAATTGATCATATTCTTTATTCCCAATCTAATATTCTGCACTGCTTAGTAGTTTCATTGGAGAGCAGCCTCAAGCACACCAGTGGGACTTTCTGGCATTACCTCGAAACTACACCTTTTTCCTTCAATCACCTTGTAAATCTTCTTCACCTTTTCCTGCATTCATTGTTAATACAACTTCCCCATTTCTGATTAAAACTTCAAATATATTTGAATTGGGTCTTACCGTGTAATTTATTTGGTTCAGTCTATTATGTAAGCTCCCCAATGCCTGATCATCAACACTGTGATTAGTGAGCCATAGTGCTACAGCTGCAGCAATTGCTGATGGAGGATAATTCAAGGAATCAATGGCTGCCAAAAACATAAGCCAAAACTATGCTTAGAGAAAGGAAAGGGAAGAAAACAGGGGAAAAATAATCCTTTAGGCAGCTGACATGGAATTCACCTTTACATGTATTGATAATGAGATCAGAGGCGGAAGAAAATAGGTTACAAAGGCTGTTTTGTCGTTGGGTCTTTGAAACCTTTGCGATGAAACAATGTACAAAATCGAAAGGAGTAATGGTTCGCAATCGCCATTTCAGAGTTTTCATCACTACAAGCTCCATTCTTTGGACTGTTTTGGGCTTAAACAAGAATCTAGGTTTTATTATTTGCAAGTCTAGCAGAAAGGGAACGCTTGTTTCCTCCATCTTTGCTGCTAGAGAAAAGCATGATACTGATAAAAGCTGCATTGGCCAACCTTTCCCTTGCTAAACATCAACGTACAGAAAATACCAACCAAATCAGCGGATTAGAAAGTACTTCTCAAACTCTTTTTAAACTCAATTCGAGCAAACAAAAATACCGGTAAAGCTCGAGCCGAAAGGAATCTATCCATGTAGTTGATGGAAAGATATGCAGTTTCAGGCCTAAACCTGTAGAAACAGTGAACCTGAAATTTGTTCAAACATATGCATCATGACAATAATAAAAAAACAAAAAAAACAGGGTGTTGTACGTGGTACCTTTAACATCCATTGGATTGCTTCTTGACGAGCTCTAACAATATCATTAGGAAGATCATGGAACCTTGATGAAAGAACCTTGGATTCCAGCATTCCGACCTCGGAATCAAACAAATTACTTAAAGAATCATTGCCATAGTCGACGAAACTATGGTTTGAATCTAAAGATGAAAAAGTAGTAACAAGTTCATCTCTTTCATTAACTTCATCGGCTTCCCAGGAGACAACATCATTTGCTGCTTCATCGCAATACAAATTAGGAAGGATTGGATGGTTTAGGGACACCGCCATTGGAAATTTTGTTTGTGGTGGTGAATCAACAGAAAACTTCTCTTTCCAAGTAATAGTTTATCAGATTTTCTGAACTGGAACAAAGGTTGCTTTCGGATGTGTATAAATATGTGTAAGTGGTGGTATATGAGGATCTAAGAGGGACCGTTGGGAGAGTTGTGCATGAAACTTCGTATGGAGTTGATCCAAATAGAGTAGGGCCAAGGGCTGGTCCTCGAATATTTGGCAGACCAATGATTACTTGTTTTCACTATTTGCTTGGTATCTAATTTCAAATTCCTTTATATTTTTTATTTTCTATTATTATCTAATTTCACACCCTAAATTCATCACCTGACTTTATAATTGTTGTTTTGTTGAATCTTTGACTAGTAAAAGTTAAAAATTGTTACTCGACTATAGTGCAATGCTTTGTTGAGTTATGTAACAGTTAAAAGTTACAAAATAATCATTCAACTATTCATATGTTTCAAACTCATCTTTTTCATAAAAAATTAATGATCGTTGAGCTAAACATTAACTTGTTGACTAAGATATGATAAAATATGATCCTATAATCATTTAAGTTATATTTTGTAGATTGGCTCTCTCTTTACATTATGTCGTCAAGTTAATGCTTGAAAGCAACGACGATATCCATAGACATAATTAAGATATAATTTTATCATATCACAATCACTGGGTTAACGTCCAATTCAGACATCCATAAAATTTTTAACAAAAAATGACGAGTTTGAAACATAATAATCATGTTACTATTTTATAACTTTTAACAATAGGAGGACTCAACAAAAAAACATTCTATAGTGCATACCATTTTATAACTTTTAATAATCGAGATACTCAATAAAAAATATCGTATAGTCGATGATCATTTGTGTACTTTACCCATAATGATTTCACATTACTATATTTTGGGTACTTTCCCTGCAACATCTTTATCATCTGTAATTCTTGACGTTCTCTTATCTTTGTTGCAGTTATTGCACTTTATTTTTCCCAGTTTCGAAATCTCATAAACCTATATTGTTTTAATTTTATGTGAAAATCATAAGATGACTTAACATATGTGATTATATATTTGTCTTGTAAGATTTTGAAATTAGCATAATTTAGCTTAGTAAATTTCATTGTATTAAGACTGAATTTCTAAGATTTTGAAATTAGCATAATTTAGCTTAGTAAATTTCATTGTATTAAGACTGAATTTCTAAAATTTAAAAATTACAATTATTAAATTCGATTAAATTAAAATACTGAAACAATAAATTTATACAACTTATTTCACATAAATTTTTATATATTCATATATATATATTTTTACTTTTTCATGAATGAAAAATTCAATTATTTGAAATTTAAACTATATATAAAAATAAAAATAATGTGAACAAAATCAAAATTAAGTAAATATAAATTAACTATTTAGAAATATAAACGGATTTAAACTAACAAAACCAAACTTTTATTTTCCAAAAAAGAAGTTAGTAAATTTGATCAAATTAGACCTTGCCAATAAAGAACTGAACTGATGTATATGGACTAGGTGAAATTCGTCATAAAGTACGACAACGAATATTATTTTATTAAAACTCGTTATATTTACCGTAACTGATTTTTTATAATTTTTTTAATATAATAATTAATGCAGCGTATTTCAATTAACTCGCAAATGAAAAACTACACGCAGATTTCCAACTTTTCCCGTATTAATGTTTCATTAGTACAATAAGAAATGCAATCTTGCGTTAATGCTTCATTGATACAATAATTAATGCAGTAGATTATTGCATATTACGTAATTACATGCATATTTCCACTTTTTAATTCAATTTATTGAAACATTTGCTATTGTAGGCATGCGTGTGGTCATTAATACTCGAGTTAATTGAAATTTGATGCATTAATTATTATATTAATGATGATATTTTCTTTATTTTTAAAAAGGTTATAAAAGAATCTCCAACAGCAAAATTAAATAATAAATAATAATTTATTTGGAACTTGCCCTGCCAATAAATTAAATTAAAAACTATAAATATTTGGTCTATGGTATATTATTCACCGTGAACCAATAAAAAAAATAATTTTCAAGAAAACTCATCAGAAAATATGATGAGTTTTAACTCCAGTGTAGCAATTATCTTATATCTCTTAATTTATGAAGTACCATATAAGCCCAAATAATTATCCCACGCTAATTTTGCCATGATTTTAGACTGTTATATTTTAGAGAAAATAACCTCAGTGACCAAAAATCCCATATAATATACGATTTTAATCAACTTTTTCTGGATTTGCCAAAATGACCAACAAAATCGCAATGCGATCGCTAATTCGCAACGCGATCTCCATTATCGCTAATTCGCAACGCGATCTCTATTATCGCAAATTCGCGTTGCATTTTCGCAATGCGATAGTTGAAAATCGCGTTGCGATGGTCTACAGTATCGTTGCGATTTTCCCAATTCGCAATGCGAATAAGTAAATCGCAACGCGAATTGGGAAAATCGCAATGCGAATAAGTAAATCGCAACGCGAATTGGGAAAATCGCAATGCGATACTTACTATCGCAATGCGATAATAAAAAATCGCAACGAGATACTTACTTTCGCAACGCGATACTGACTTTAGCAACGCGATTTACATAGCGCCATTCGTATTAACGCGTATTTTTTTTTTCAAATTCCAAACACGTATTTTTTCTTAATAAATCGGAAAATGAACCGTCCACAGTAATCGCAACTAATAACCTCAAACCCAAAAACACAACACTCAGTCCCATCTCCATCTCTCACTCTCTACGGCGAAATCCGTCCCCATCTCCGAAGATTTCCGTCCCCATCGCCGGCGAAATCCCTCACAACCATTCACAGTCAAAAATCCCTCACAATCATTCAGAAATGGAAAATCAACCTCCGAGGGTTAGTTTTTTTTATTTTTATTTTGAAATTTTTGCATTATTTTAGGTTTTTCATATTGAGATTGATGATAAGTTTACTGGTAATTTCAATAATAGATTAACCATTTCACTTAGATTTCTTATTAAATTCATTCGATTGCTGCCAATACTGCTAAACTGTATAGCCTGTGAAGTTAGTATTTGTCTTTGCTTTGTCTTTTGGTTGAAGTAATGCAGAAGAAGAATAGTTTCGAGAATGAAAATCGCAACGCGGAAATAACTATCGCAACGAGATAATCGCAACGCGAAATAAAAATCGCAACGCGAAACCAAAATCGCATTGTGATTTTCATTTTGCGTTGCGATTTTCATTTCGCGTTGCGATTGTCTGGTCACGATAGTCATTTCCGCGTTGCGATTCTCATTATCTCGTTGCGATTTTCATTTCAACCAAAAGACAAAAAAAGTGTTGCAAATTTTAGTTTCAAGAATAAACTACTATTTATGTTTATTGTTTTGTTTTGGTATATCTTGACAGTGTAATTTTTGGTATATCTAACTTGGTATGTTTATTGTTTTTTTGTAGAAATTTTTTTCGGCTTCATTGACATTAAGGAATAAAGTTAGCCTAGCCACTACAATTGCTTCGAAGCTTTCACCTGCACAAAGAAAATTGTTTGAAGAAACCTGCTTCGGGCCATGGCTGAGAGTACAACATCCGGGTGGAGATGCTAGTTTGACCCATTTGTGGCTTCAGACCATGACTAGCGATCTACCCGACAGTATACAACGTGGTGAGGAAGAGATATGGTTTTCATTTTCCACCGGCGTATACTTGTTTTGGGCGGAAGGAGTTCTGCTTAATCACTGGTCTACGATTCGGACACGATGATGTAGGCCGGTACACTCGTCATATCACCCGCCCATCATGGTTATCCAGGGTTTTTCCTGATGAGTCAATAGAGAAGTCGAACTTACACGTCGACGACATGAAGAAATTGTTTAATAAGAAAGATGGTTTTACTCGGATGAATGACGTCGATGTGATCCGAGTATGCCTTCTACTACTTTTGTATGCCGGCTTTCTAGGCAGAGAGGCCATTCAACCTATTCCTCAGGAGCTAATATTATTGGTAGAGGACCTAAATGCATGGAATCTGTTTCCGTGGGGTTCGTATATATGGAAAGCTACCTGGACTAAGTTGTCGTCTGCCTTTGATGACCGCAAAAGTTTGCGGGGCGATGGGTCGAAATACACTTTGTCAGGCTTTGTTTGGGCCTTTAAGGTAAGAATTTCTATATAATGTTTTCAAAATTATAATTAATTATTTAACAATTACTAATGTTTGTTATTATATTGTTTGTAGATTTGGATATTCGAGGCTTTCCACAGCATGCGGACATATGCATTAAAATCCTCAGATGATATTCCTAGGGCTATTTCCTGGAAGAGGAAACGTATGTTGGACATTCCTCGAGAGTCCACTCATATCATCCCAATAGTGCGGACATATGCGGACATATTAAGTCTCCGTATACCCCAATAGTGCGAAGACACCGCAAGAAGAAGCCCGACTCGCCTATCATCCCTCAAGAGTCCACTCCTATCGTTGAAGAGGCCCCTCCCACCGTTCAAGAGGCCACTATCATCGTTGAAGAGGTCCCTCCCACCATTCAAGAGCCCGATTCACATGGCGTCATATGTAGGATTCTTGAGAAACCCTCTGACGTGCCGGACATGATGGATTCAAGTTGGCTCTCGTATGAGTTACCGGCCAGTACCATACCGGTATCTGAAGAGGAGAGGAAACAACTACCGGACACAATTCTGGATAACACCCTTTGGGCTAAGACCGCAGTTGATTTTTATCTACATGAGCGAAGCCAGGGGTGTTTCACTGACATATGCAAGCTCAATGATGATATCTATTTGTTGCTTGATCGGTCTTGGTGGGGCGTATTATTAGGGGTCAAAGACAATGGCTATTTCGATGGAGGGGTAAGTCTTAAATCTATCTTATATTTTCATTTGATTAATTTGTTTAAAAATTAATGTAATTCACTAATATATGTATTTTTTTGTAAAACAGCATATCGATGCGTGGGTGTCACGTCTACTAATAATTAGGAAACTTAAGGAAAATAAAAGAAA